TATTCTTATTATTCTTATTATTCTTCTTCTTCTTATTCTTCTTATTCTTCTTATTCTTCTTCTTCTTATTCTTCTTCTTCTTCTTATTATTATTCTTCTTATTCTTATCATTAGTCTTCTTCTTCTTCTTATTTTTCTTCTTCTTCTTCCTCCTCCCTCCTCCTCCTCCTCCTCCTCCTCCTCTTCCTCCTCCTCCTCCTTTTCCCGAAGGAGGTCGAAGAACGGGATGGGAAAGCTGAGCGGCGGGACAGCTCAAAGGATCATGGAACTACCGAAGATGGCGTATTTTGCCTGCAACGCTGTGCCCGGGACATGCTGTCGGTAGCGCTGGAGTCAAAGAGCGAGGGCAAAGGCGAACCGGTAGCACACCAGACGCAGCATGATTAGCATTTGGTGTCGTAGCCTGTTGGTATCCGTAGTATGCGGCTTTAAGTAGACCGGTCTCTCCGCAACTAGTGTGCCACCCGATCGTGAACTGCATCGAACAAGCTTCTGTCATGGAACATGTCGAGGAAACGCTTGGCGATCCCTGGCTGGCCGTAGGAGGTTGCGAGGTCCATTAAGTGCTCGAACACGTAGCCAATATGCCCCAAAACGTGATACTGGTAGGCTCGAGCCATCTATGGGTACATGATGGCGAGCAACTTCTTGGGTGCTTGCAGATGAGCTCGAGGTTGGTAGTTTTGACGTTGATAGCCACCGATCCCAATCGGAATACCAAGCGCTACGTAGTGGTATCCCACGCGCCCAGGGTACCCTCGTGGCCATTGTGGTGCCTCTGGCCTTTAAGTCCGATATATCGGACGGGCACCCCTTGTCGTAGCCCTGCGTGTTCAAGTACGCCAGTTTGTTCTGGTGGCCCCGCTGGGCCAACTGGTGGCTCTCGCAGCTCAGGTGGTTGTCCTCGTCGCTCCGCCGGTGGTTTTCGTAGCCCTGCTGGTGGCTCTCGCAGTCCAGCTCGGGGCCCTCGAAGTTCTGGTCGCGGCCCTCGTAGCTCAGCTTGCTGTCCTCGTAGCTCAGCAGGTGGCCCTCGTAGCTGTCGGTGGCTCTCAAAACTCAGCTCGTGGCCTTCGCAGTTCGGCTCGTCGCCCAACTTGCTCTGCAGGGGGCTCTCGTAGCATTGCCAAGGGCGGGCGTGGCCCAGCTTGTGGGCCTCGCAGCTCGGCCGGTGGTCCTCGTAACTCGGCTGGTGGTCCTCGCAGCCCTGCGCGTAACCGTAGTAGATCAGCGCGTGGTCCTGGTAGTGGCCCTCGTAGCTCTGATGGTGGCTCTCGTACCACAGCAGTTGGCCCTCGCAGTTCAGCGGGCGGCCCTCGCAGCGCTGCTGGAGGCTCTGGAGGACGCTCGGGAAGTGGCCCTGGCAGCTCTGCCGGTGGCTCCACGAGCTCTGCCTGCGGCCATCGCAGCTCAGCTCGAAGCCCTTATGGCCCCCGTCGTAGCTCAGAGGGCGGCCCTCGAAGTTCAGCACGTGGGTCTTGAGGCTCTGCATGTTGCTGCGGGAGCTGTGCTGGTGTGCCAGTGGCCCTCGAGGCTCAGCTGGTGGCTCTCGAAGCTCAGCTTCTTGCTGGCGCAGGTCTGCCAGTGGCCCTCGAAGCTCAGCTGGTGGTTATCGAAACTCTGCTTTCTGTCGTCGAAGATCTGCTGGTGGCTTTTGAAATCCCAGATTGTGGCTCTTGAGGCTCTGCTTCTTGCCCTCGGAGCTCTGCTGGTAGCCCTCTCAGCTGAGACGGCGGCTCTCGAAGCTCAGCTGGTGGCCCTGATCGCTCTGCCTGCGGTCCTCGTGGCCGTGCTCCTTGCCGCCGATGCTCTGGAGGTAGCCCTTGTAGCTCTGGTGGTGGCCCTCGAAGACCCGCTGGCGGCAATCGGAAATTATCCTGGCGAAGGACCCAACCATATGCAGTTGTGAGTATCGCAATTGTGAGTATATTCTTCGGTGGCGCTCCCTATGGGGCCACGAACCGCATGAGGGGTGTGCCGAAATGTGGCGGGGTACACAACGCAAAGGAATACGATAGATCTGATTACGAGAGAAAGAACGCGGGTGAGTCAGAGCGCGAGGGAATCTGAGTATGAATGGGTCTGCGCGCGAGTGAATATATTTGCATGAATGCGATCATGGAACCGCCTAGTGTAAGTGTCGAGCATGCCTGTCCGAACACACGTGACACTGGGCGTGGCCGCCGCAGGCAGCTTCCGCGGGAACCCCGACGGCAGCGCCCGCACGTCGCGACGCCCATGTCGGCGCGCCTCTTGCGAGGATCGCGCCCGCTTTCGGCTCTTCTTTTCCTTCCTCTTTGCCCGCGCACTCCAAAATCCAAGGCTGCGGGCGCAGCGCAGCGCGGGGTCCCCGCGACGCGCGCTGGTCGCCCCGGGCGGGGTCCCAGCGACGCGCGCGGGTCGTCCGCTGCGCGAAGCAGAGAGAGCTGACTAGCTAACTGGCTGGCCGATAGCGGGCAAGTCTCTGACCGCTGGGCAGAGCGACGACGGGCGAACGAGGCGCCGGGCCCCCCGCAGCACGGAGTTCCCGCGACGCGCGCTGGTCGCCCCGAGAGGGTCCCAGCGACGCGCGCGGGTCGTCCGCGGCGCGAGGCCAAACAATTAGTCGGGCAGTCGAGAGAAGGCGCGGCTCGGGGGAGACGCTCCTCAGGTCAGGCCTCGCGGATGAACTCGGTGAAGCCGAGCTCCCTGGCGAGGGCCGTCGCTTCCCTCCTGCACCGCTTCGTGCGCGCCGCAAACTGCTCCAGCTGCTTCCGCAAGCCCTGCGGCGGCCCTGCCAGGAAGAACTCGATGCGCGGCGCCCGCATGAGCAGGAGGTCCTCGTGGCGCGTGGCGCGCGAGAGCAGCACGTAGAGCTCCAGCCACCAGTCGTCGTCCTCCTTCTTGCCGTTCCCTACCTCGTGGCGGCCGCAATCCAGGATCACGCCTGGGCGACGTCGACCGAGGGAGCAGCGCGCCGGGCAGCCGACGGCCCAGGGCGAGAGTCCACAGGACCGAGAGATGGTCTGGCCGCGGACTGCTCGCGCCCCGGAGGTCTGGCCGCCCCCGGAGCGCCGTTCCCCCGCCCCGTCGCCTTCGCGCATGGTGCGCCCCTGGCACGCCACCGTGGTGATGACCCTGCCGTGCGAGAAATGCGGGGGGTGTGCCGAAATGGGTGGGGGTGACGCATGCGGGCGGCGGCACTGAGGCCTTCGGTGGAGCTCCCTATGGAGCCACGAAACGTGTGAGGGGTGTGCCGAAATGGGTGTGGGGGACGCATGCGGCCGCGGGCACTGGGGCTTCGGTGGAGCTCCCTATGGAGCCACGAAACGTGTGAGGGTGTGCCGAAATGGGTGTGGGGACGCATGCGGCCGCGGCTGGGGCCTTCGGTGGAGCTCCCTATGGAGCCACGAAACGTGTGAGGGGTGTGCCGAAATGGGTGTGGGGGACGCATGCGGCCGCGGGCACTGGGGCCTTCGGTGGAGCTCCCTATGGAGCCACGAAACGTGTGAGGGGTGTGCCGAAATGGGTGTGGGGACGCATGCGGCCGCGGGCACTGGGGCCTTCGGTGGAGCTCCCTATGGAGCCACGAAACGTGTGAGGGGTGTGCCGAAATGGGTGTGGGGGACGCATGCGGCCGCGGGCACTGGGGCCTTCGGTGGAGCTCCCTATGGAGCCACGAAACGTGTGAGGGGTGTGCCGAAATGGGTGTGGGGGACGCATGCGGCCGCGGGCACTGGGGCCTTCGGTGGAGCTCCCTATGGAGCCACGAAACGTGTGAGGGGTGTGCCGAAATGGGTGTGGGGACGCATGCGGCCGCGGGCACTGGGGCCTTCGGTGGAGCTCCCTATGGAGCCACGAAACGTGTGAGGGGTGTGCCGAAATGGGTGTGGGGACGCATGCGGCCGCGGGCACTGGGGCCTTCGGTGGAGCTCCCTATGGAGCCACGAAACGTGTGAGGGGTGTGCCGAAATGGGTGTGGGGACGCATGCGGCCGCGGGCACTGGGGCCTTCGGTGGAGCTCCCTATGGAGCCACGAAACGTGTGAGGGGTGTGCCGAAATGGGTGTGGGTGACGCATGCGGCCGCGGGCACTGGGGCCTTCGGTGGAGCTCCCTATGGAGCCACGAAACGTGTGAGGGGTGTGCCGAAATGGGTGTGGGGGACGCATGCGGCCGCGGGCACTGGGGCCTTCGGTGGAGCTCCCTATGGAGCCACGAAACGTGTGAGGGGTGTGCCGAAATGGGTGTGGGGGACGCATGCGGCCGCGGGCACTGGGGCCTTCGGTGGAGCTCCCTATGGAGCCACGAAACGTGTGAGGGGTGTGCCGAGGGGTGGCCGGGCACTGGGGCCTTCGGTGGAGCTCCCTGCCGGCCATGCGAGGCAGGGGTGTGCCGAAATGGGTGTGGGGGACGCATGCGGCCGCGGGGAGGCAGCGGGAGGAAGGAAGGAGGGAGAACGCGGGGCACCGTCTCTTCAAAACGAGGACCCAACACCACAGGATGGTTGGGAAAAACAGCATGGTGAGCCGCAGGGTGAGGCAGCCGTATGCGGTAAGGTATTAGTAGCCGCTGTACTCACCGTAGCCGTTGTAGGCGTCGTAATCATAATCATCATCATCATCATCATCATCATCATCATCATCATCATCATCATCATCATCATCATCATCATCATCATCAGCAGCAGCAGCAGCAGCAGCATCAGCATCAGCATCAGCAGCAGCAGCATCATCATCATCATCATCAGCATCATCATCATCATCATCAGCATCACCATCATCATCATCATCATCATAATCAGCAACATCATCACCATCACCATCACCATCACCATCACCATCACCATCAGCATAAGCATCATCATCATCATCATCATCAGCATCATCATCATCATCATCATCATCATCATCATCATCATCATCATCATCATCATCATCATCATCATCATCGTACGCGGCGTAGCCATGGTCCACCGGTCTCTCCACGACGCTATATTTTGTCACCCCCTCAGGCTGTGTGTCACCCCCTCGGGCTGTTCGGCCTTGCCGTGCCTTGCGTCGCACGGTGTGTCGAAATTGACGCACATGTTGTCGTACTTGCCGTACTGGGTGATGTCGTGCTGTTTGACGTCGGACTTTTCGACGTGGTACTGGTTGGCGCGTTGCATCACCAAGTTGACGTCCTTGTGGGCGATGTAGCCACTTGTCCGCGCAGCATAGCCCAGCCTGCGCGCTGCGGTGCTATCTGCCCTCGGCCTCCAGCGGCCAGATATGGTCTCATAGCCATTCTCGTCAACAATGGCTGACGCCCGCCGCCTCCGATCCGACATCGCGCGGCGGCAGGCCGTGCGGGCTGAGGCCTGCACCGCGGCCCCCGGGCCCAGAGTGCGGGGGATGAATCCCGCATCTGGTCCGTCCTCCCCCACCTCCACCTCTCCACCTCCTCCTCCTCCTCCTCCTCACCTTCCTCCTCACCTTCCTCCTCCTCCTCCTCCTCCTCCTCCTCCTCCTCCTCCTCCTCTTCCTCCTCCTCCTCCTCCTCCTCCTGCTCCTCCTCCTCCTCCTCTTCCTCCTCCTCCTCTTCCTCCTCCTCCCCCTCGCTTCCTCTCCACCTCCCTCCCCCTCCTCTCCTCTCCTCATCCTCCTCCTCCTCATCCTTCATGATCATCATCAGCATCATCATCATCATCATCATCAGCATCATCATCATCATCATCATCATCATCATCATGCTCATCATCATCATCATCATCATCATCATCATCATCATCATCATCATCATCATCATCATCATCATCATCATCATCATCATCATCATCATCATCATCATCATCATCATCAACATCAACATCAACATCAACATCAGCATCATCATCAACATCATCAGCAGCATCATCAGCAGCATCAGCATCATCATCCTCCTCATCGTCCATCCCTCCTCCTCCTCCACCCCCTCCGCCTCATCTCCTTCTCCTCCTCCACCTGCTCCTCCTCCTCCTCCTCCTCCTCCTCCTCCTCCTCCTCCACCTCATCCTCCTCCTCAGCCGTTACTCTCGTGGGCTCGCCTCCGCGCCCCGGAGCATGCCAGCATCCTCCCCCTCCCCGACGGGTCTCAGCCGACGCCCGGGGCCTTGCCCAGCGCCACCACGGCGGCACGGCGCACGCGGGGACTCTCATCCTTCAGGCGCGCCGCGGCCAGCTGCATCGCGGACTGGCTTCCAGCCTTGGGGAAGATAACGAGCATCGTTTAACAGATCCCTATCCCCACCAGCGTGGCCTGGGCCCACTGGCCGATGTGCCCCCCTGGATATGGATATAGGCTGTTCCCTTCGGCTTTCGAGGGGCATATCCCCAACTGAAGTGGTGGGATGGTGGGGATCGGGATGGGGATGGGGATAGGAGTCGGTTAAACGATACTGAGACAAGACGGCACAAGCACAAACTCTCGACGGTCCGGGCGGATGGCTTGGATCTGCGCTGGGCCCCCCTTGGGGGTCCCAAAAACCCGCGTGGCAACAGACCGCGCGGTGTCCGCGAAATCCCAAGAATTCTCACTGCGCAGTCCGCAACCTCACTGATGTAGGACCCTGGAGGCTTCAATCGCCTGAAACATCCTCGGAGAACGACCCGAGTACCAAAACCGCGAGGTGAACCCGAATTCCCACTGACTCACCACACAGTGTGGTCACCACTGTCTTGGGGCGGAGCCAGCGGAGATCCAAGAAATCCGCGCGGAACGCCGAAAATTTACACTTGCGCGGTCGACGCGTAAGACACACTAAGGCATCGTTATGGCAATGTGTGGTGGTGTCGAGCGAGAGGGAGGCATTGGTCAAGAACAAGGTGAGGAGGTGGACGGAGGACGCGGACGACGTGCTCGCGTGCTTTGGAGTTTTCAACCACCCTGCCGAGTCTTTCCCTCGCCCTCTTCAGTCGGGCGATGTGCAGGTCGAATGGGTTTCTCCTCCTGACGGGGACCCCACGCTCGACGACGTTGTCTTCGGGGATATCTTCACAGACGGGTCATGCAGCTAGAGGGTCATCCCCGAACTCGATCGTGCGGGTTGGGCCTTCTCGCTCTGGCATCGTGACACAGGTCTCGAGATCGTTAGAGTGCGGGGGCCAGTCTGGCCCCCGTGTCCACAGACGGCGCAGGCCGCTGAGTTTCACGCTTATTCGATCACGCTGTAGTGGTCGAGTGGTCCTAGCGAATTGCATGTTGACTGTAAAACCTGTGTTGATTGTCATGCCCTCCCGTGGGAACAGCCAGGCTCTCCTAAGCGTGCGTACGCTGGAGTTGCTCAACTTTGTAGAGAGTTTTCCCAGCGGTGCAACGTGCACAAAGTCAAGGCCCACCACTCCATCGAAGGGGCCGAAGATAGCTGGGATCTCAACTTGCGTGAAGGTAACCATGTTGTCGACGTTTCAGAGAAGCAAGCTGTGTTGATCTATCCACGGCCCGACAGCACGGAAGCTGAGGATGTAGATTGCAAGCTGGCCATTGCGAGAGCTGTTGGCATTCTGGCCGCGAAGCTCTTACCACTTTGGCCGAGGCTCGATCTTGGGCCGAACGTGCAGGGGGTCCCTGTTGCAGAACCTGTGAGCAAAGAACAGGGTCCGACGCACGCTTGGAGCTGGACAGGACGTTTTTGATAATGTCCGTGGATCACGTTCAGCCGACAAGCCGCCCGCGAGCTTGTGCCGTGGTGGCGCAGTCGGGATCCGTGGCATGGATGATACTGCGTTATCTGCCCTCGGGCACAGCACGCTTTTTCTTGACGCCTCGGACGGCAGGTGTGTCGTTGCGTGCTTCAAGTGCATGTTCTACACTGGAGGTGGGCAGGTTCGAGGCCTTCGACAGCCCTGCTAACCGATCCCGAAGGCTGGAGCTCAGGGTCGGAAGCACGCCTGGAGGCAGATTGCGAGGGGACGGCATCCCAAGCGCGGAAACGTCACGGTCTCTGCTGTTGGCCCCTGGGCCAATATGGAGGAGGAGGCCCCCGCTCCCTCTGTTGAGCCCCACCCCCTCGGCCTTGAAGGAGGAGGATGCTCGCGAGAGACGCTGGGCCGATTTGGCCCAGCGCCTCCTCTCGGCTGCCACTTCGAGCCTGCCTGAGGATCTTGGGCGTCGCTGGCCAGAGCCAGCACGCACCACTCCTCACCGCGGAGACAGCGACACTGATTAGGCATGTATGAAGCTGCTCCATATTTGTCTGGTCAGTTGGTGGGGTCGGGGGTCGAGTCCTGTTCTGGAGTTGCCCCGAGTCAGTACCCGCCCCGCCCTACCCTGTGGTGTCTGGCTGGACTTCGCCTTTTGTTTCTTCTTGTGCGCTGCTGGCTGGTGCCAGCACGCTGCTTCCCTCGCTGCGGAGACAGCGACACTGATTAGGCATGTATGAAGCGGCTCCATATTTGTCTGGTCAGTTGATGGGGTCGGGGGTCGAGTCCTGTTCTGGGGTTGCCCCGAGTCAGTACCCGCCCCGCCCTACCCTGTGGTGTCTGGCTGGACTTCGCCTTTTGTTTCTTCTTGTGCGCTGCTGGCTTGTGCCAGCACGCTGCTTCCCTCGCTGCGGTGGCAGCGGCACTGTTCAGACATTTAGGGGACTGCCCCATATTTGTCTGGGTGTATGGTGGAGTCGTGGGTCGGGTCATGTACCGGGGTTGCCCCGAGACAGCACCCGCCCGTTCTAGCCTAGCACGGGCCCGTTCTTGGCTAGAACGGGGCCGTTCTAATCTAGAACGGGGTCGATCTAGTCTAGAACGCCCCCTTTCCTGCCCGGGTGGCACCAGGCAGGGCTTAACTTTGTTTTTCTCACCCAACTTGTGTGTGCGGGTATAAACTTCGAGCCTGCATGTTAGAGGTCGGTTTGTGTTATGTGTTTTGCCTCGGGGGTCTCGCCCTCCCCTGAGGTAACGTGCGGGCTGCATACTGCGCTGCGGCAGGAAAAAAAAACACCCCTCTTGTTATGCGCACGATTAGTGTTAGTCATAGAATTGTCGTTATGATTAGCATCATACTTAGTATTCGTAATAGTATTACCAGTATTCTGAATAGTAGTATCATTACTAGTATGCTGAATGTGTAATACCCTTCATAGTATAAGTAGTATTCGTATGGTCAGCCTTCCTCGTAGTAGTATTCCTTTTACTAGTCTGCTCAGTACTATGGCGCTCCACATGTATAGTATGCTTAGGATTGGTAGTATTGCTAGTACAACTATGATTAGTATCGATAGTATTCCAATAATATGGTTCGACATATTCGTTTCATTCCTTACTACAGTCCTCCCCCCCTCCTCCTCCTCCTCATCCTCCTCCTCCTGCTCCTCCTCCTCCTCCTCCTCCTCTGGCTCCTCCTCCTCCTCTGTCTCCTCCTCCTCCTCCTCCTTCTCCTCCTCCTCCTCTCCCTCCCCCTCCTCTTCCCCCTCCTCCTCCCCATTCCCAATCCCCTCCCCCTCCCCCTCCCCCTCCCCGTCCCCTTTTGCCTACCCCTCCGCCTCCTCCTCATCCTCCTGATCCTGCTCCTCCTCCTCCTCCTGCACCTCATGTTTCTCCTCCCCCTCCCCCTCCCTCTCCCTTCCTCCTCGTCCTCGTCCTCCTCCTGGTTCTCCTCCTCCTCCTCCTCCTCCTCCTCCTCCTCCTCCTCCCCCTCCTGGTCTTCCTCCTCCTCCTCCTTTTCCTCCTCCCTCCTTCTTCCTCCTGCTCATCCTCATCCTCCTCCTACGCCTACTCCTCCTCCCCCTCTGCGCCTTGATCTTATTAGTATCAGTGTTTGCCTTGGTATTATTATATCTGTTCCGCATTATTAGTCGTAGTATGATTAGTCGTACGATTACTGGTCTTATTATTATTGGTAATACTGATAGTATGGATAGTGTTGATATCATTGCTATTGTTATTATTATTATTAGTATGATTAGCATTATTAGTATTATTAATATTATTATTCGTATTCGTATTATTATTATTAACATTATTATTATTAACATTAGTATTAGTATTATTATTAGTATGATTCGTAGTATTAGTATTATTAGTCGTATTAGTATGACTAGTACTATTATTAGTATTATTAGTATTATCATCAGCATTATTAATATTATTATTATTATTATTCTTATGATTAATATTATTATTCATATTATTATCCGAATTATTAGTTGTATTACTATTAATAGTAATGTTATTATTAATAGTGTTAGTATTATTATGTGTAGTATCAGTATTAGTAGTAGTATTAGTAGTAGTAGGTTTGTAATATTCTTAGTAGTAGTATAAGTATTGTTATTACTAGTATTACTCAGTGTCTTAATAGTGTCTTTATTATTAGTGTTAGTATGATCAGTAATATTATTAGTATTAGTAATAGTATTACTAGTAGCATCAGTATTGTTATTACTACTATTAATATTGTGATTACACTTATTATTACTAGTATTATCATTATTGCTAGTTTTATTATTATTATTAGTAGTAGTAGTAGGAGTAGGAGTAGTAGTAGTAGTAGTAGTAGTAGTACTAGTGTTAGTCTCAGTAGTGTTATTAGTATTGGTAGTATTAGTTGTATTAGTATCATTATTGGTAGTGGTAGTAGTAATAGAAGTAATAGTAGTAGTAGTAGTAGTAGTAGTAGTAACAGTAGTATTAGTAGTATTAGTATTGTTATTGGTAGTAGTAGCAGTAGTAGTAGTAGTAGTAGGTAGTAGTAGTAGTAGTAGTAGTAGTAGTAGTAGTAGTAGTAGTAGTAGTCGCAGCAGCAGCAGCAATACTATCAGTATAATTGTTATTATTAGTCGCATGCGTAGTATGATTAGACTGCTCTTCTAAGTATTCGCAGTATTAGTATTCGTTGTCTTAGTAGTCTTTATATTACTAGTATAACTAGTCGCTGCATTAGTAGTTGTGATTAGTACGTTTCGTATCAACTTCTTCGTATTATTCGCATGATTAGTATTGTTAGTTGTACTCTTCTTCTTCTTAGTATTATTACTGTTATTGCTATTAGTAGTACTATTATTCTGGATACTCCTCCTCCTCCTCCTCCTCCTCCTCCTCCTCCTCCTCCCCCTCCTCCTCCCCCATCCCCCTCCTCGAAACTTGATGCGTGTGCATTAGATGTCTTCTACGAGGCCTCGGCGAGCGCGGCGAGCGCGGTCACGGCCGTCTCGCGCGCCGCCGACTCGGGGTGCATCAGCTGGGCGGTCACCGCCGCGAGCGCCCGATCGTGGCCGCGCCCCGCGAGGCAGGAGAGCGCCTCGCAGCCGCCGCGGGGGGAGGGGCATGCGGGGAGGGCAGGACGCTACAGGATCGGAGCGGATCAGGTCGGCCCGTCACGCTTGGACGCCCGAAATGGGTACGGACAAAATGGGCACAATGCCCAACAACAACTGTTGTCCCAAACCAAGAACGGCCGCTGTTGGGGACGCGGCCTTCTGTCTCGAATGGACACAGGCCGCGGCGGCGCGGACAGCGAATCCGGTTCAAAATGCACAGGAACTGCTGTTGCCCATCCCGTTCGTGCAGACTCACGAATCAGGGCCCATGACCTTGGCACCCCAGGGGGGGGCGGCGGAGCTGCGTGCGGCTCCGCGGCCCCAGGGAGAGAAGGAGGGGAGGAGGCAGGAGGGGTGGGGCGGGAGGCAGGCGAGAAGGGGGACGGGGAGGGCAGGATGGGGCGGGGGGGGTCCCCTGGGGAGGAGTGGTGGGCACAGGAGGAGTGCCAGGAGGCGGGAGGAGGAGAAGTGCGAGGAGGAGATGGGGAGAGGAGGAGGAGGAGGAGGAGGAGGAGGAGGAGGAGGGCAGGGGGGGGAGGAGGAGGGCAGGGGGGGGGAGGAGGAGGAGGAAGAGGAGGAGGAGGAGGAGGAGGAGGAGGAGGAGGAGGAGGAGGAGGAGGAGGGGAAGGCGAAGGAGAAAGACCACAGTAAACCCAAAATTCATCAGCGATGCTGCAGCACGCGCGCGCGGCCCATCCCCCGTCCCGCACTAGCACGTACAAGAAATCCGTGTCGTTGCGGGAAATGCCCCCTTACAAAATGAGCACATCGCTGTCCTGAATTCAAGCGAGAAGTCCGTTTTTAGAAAGGACTACCACCCGCGCGACTGGTTACATGATGGGCGACGGGTTACGATCGCAAAAAGGGAAGCCCAAAAAAGGAAGTTAAAATCCGTAAATATCTGGTCTACGTACACGTTTGGTAATACGACCCGAAGAGACGTCTAGCGAAAAAGCGCGTTGAACAAATCCATCGGCGTAAACAATGTTACCCCGAATGCGCGCGGGAAGAAAGCCTGAAGCACATGTTGACCCACCCACCCCACACTCACCGCGTAATGGGTCGATGTTTCTGCCGCGGATCTGCGCGGCGCGAAGGAGTCACATGTTGAAAGGAGCCACCCTCCATCCACGTAACTGTTCGAAGCCTGTCAATGGAATGCGCGCGGCGCTAACACAAAAACCACTTCGAGGTCATAGACAAGCATGAACTATCAGGCGAAACGCCCGGCCCGACCTATTGACACGTCCGATGGGTGGACGCGGAGGAGGTGTCTATGAGGAACAGGATGGAAGATCAGGAAGAAATTGGAAAACAAAGGAGGAAGGGAGGAGGAGGACGACGACGACGATGACAACGACGAGGACGAGCCCGAAGGGGAAGCGGTGGAGGAACGGAGGAAGAGGAACTAGAATTGCGGGGGTTGGACGCTGCACGAGAGAGACCATGGCGGCAATATGATGCCGATTGCGTTAAGATGTAGATTGCGGGGCTTCCACTCATCACGCATTAAAAAGATATGCGTCGACGCTCAGGCCAAACAGCGGCGACCTCTCCTATTTGAGTTGGAGTTGTGCGGGATCGAACAGCTCTGGAAGAGAAGAGAAAACACATGAAGAAGGGAATCAAAAACTGTCCAACCACAAGCACATTGTAGACTCGGCGAGGAAACACCCTCGGTGTCTGACCTGACGGGCGCGCGCGTGGGAGCGCGAACTCATCCACTGCACAGGCGAGGTCCCTCGTGCTCGTAAGAGCGGCACAGGAGGAGCTCACACGTGTGAGCGATGATGGCGCGCGCTACCACGCGCCGCATTGCGTGATGCCGATGACCTCGGGCCGCAGGCATGACGCCTGAAAGCCTGTCCTGAGACTTGGGCAAGCTGATGTCCCCGGGTCACGCATGTGGCGAGGTGGGCGCGCAGCGCCTTGACCTGGCAGGCGGGACAGAAGGTAATGAATGGAGATAAAGCTTGAGGGATGCGCACACTACCTGGCGCGACCGCCTCCAATCTGTCGGACACGCACCGATCATGACCACCGCGGGCGACCTCCTCGCTGGGCACGCCGGGCTCGGCAACGCCCCTGGGCGAGGGCGGCCGCCGCGGCTCGTCGGCGCTAGCCGCGCGGAGGGCCGCGCCAGCGCGCCGACGCTCGACCCCTGCGGGTATTCTTTTTCTTCTTTGGGAAGTCAGCGGCGTCGTCCGGCGCGGGCTCGCCCTCGCCCTTCCTCTCGCCCCTGCCCTCGCGGGCTATCGCCGCGCCGTGCCCTCGAGAGCCGACGGGCGCCGTGGCCCCCGTCCTGGCCCAGAACGGGCGCGGAGTCGAGGGGCGCAACGTCGGTCTCCAGCTCGAACCGCGGGCCGCGCTGGTCTCGTCGTAGACGGCCTCGCCAGGCGGCGACGAAGGAAGGCCCTCTGGCGAGCGGGAGCGACGAGGCGGAGCGCGCGGCGCGCGCTCGCCCGGAAGCGAAGGGGGGCGCACGGCGCGCGGCGACAGCCTCGCCGACCGCTCACGGCCAGGCGGACGGCTCTTGGACGACGGGGCGCCGAGCGATGCACCGTCGAGCTCGGCCGACGGACCCCGACCGAATCCGGGCCAGGACCCCGCGTTCATCGCCGTCCAGGAACGCCTGCATTCGTCTCGCTGCCGGGGGGCCCACGAACTCCGGAGGCGGTGGGACTTCGTCGCGAACGCCGCGAGTGCGACGCCCAACGGGGCGTTCGCAGAAGCGGGCCTCGAACCATTTATCCAACCGTGGATTCCCCGCGCATCGAAGGCAAAGCCTCCGCGGAGCTCGGGGCCCATCGCGTCGACGCTCAACAAGGCGCGACGGAACGCCTGTTCTCTGGCACCGGATCCGCACGAAACCAAATGCGCACGAAGTTCACATTCTCCTCGTCGGACTTGGCGAACGGCCGGGCGCCCTCCGAGAGCGCCGCGGCCGGCGCCACTGGAAAAGGCGGCGCGCTCGGCGGGGTCGAAGCCGCGGGCGCCTCACTGGTCGGCAGCAGCCGCGAATGAGACGCGGCTGCCGCGCGGCGGCTGCGCGGAGATGGCGGGCGCGACTGGGAACGGGGACGCCCTTGAGCCTGAACGCGGCCCGGGAAACAGGCGCCGCTATCACCGCGCGCCTTGTCTCGTTGGACTGCCGCGCCGGGCGATTCACTTCGCGACCCCTGGCCCTGCGCGGCGGCGGCGTCATCGGAGGCGCGCCGGGAGAGCGGGTCATCGCCAGCGGCCCCGATGGGCCGCCGACTCTGGATCAGGTGCCTGGCGGGGCCATCGGCGACCGAGCCCTTGGCAAGGCTCGGCTTGCAGTCGACGCGAGGGCCGCATCCCCCGACGAAGCTACGAGGCGCGCAACGCGAGCGGCGAGGCGGCGATAGACCCGCGGGCTCCGGCGTCTAACTCTACGGCACGGCGCCACGCGCGCGCGCGGCAGCGGGTGGCCGCCAGCGCATGACGGCGCGCGTCTTGAGCCCTCGCGCGGGCCCAGCGGCGCACGAGCTACGGCTGGCAGCTCAGCGCGCCCTGGCCGGGCGGCGCACAAGCCTGCCGATGCAAAATTGCAGCGGCGACGTGAACGTTTCTCCCTGATCCTTCCAGCTGCTTCTGCGCCTGCTATGTCCGCGCATGCGCTCACCTACTCACGTGTCACAGCGAATGATCACCACTGTAACATAGTCTACCGACAGCATGCTCTCCCGAACTGCCGCGCTGCAAGATTCGGCCCAACCATCACGCACCATGTGACAGACCTTCCGAAAAGGATGAGCATGGGGAAGGGCGAGTGGTTCCGAGGAGGATGCAGCACGCGCAGCCCCTCTACGCATTACCAAATATGTGGATTGTCAGAGGTCGGCTGGCGCTCGCACCCCCTGACAGCACGGCGAGCTTGCCAGCCGACGCGGGGATGACTGCGCACGGTGTACAAGGCCGCTGACGAAAGCCACCGGCCGCGTCATGGAGGGCAGATCGATCGACACTGCCCTTGGTTAGTCCGCCCGCGATCACGTCGCCGGTATCTTCCCGGCTCAGGGCCCATAGTTGGCCCGAGCTCTGGAGGTCGCGGAGCCAGAGCACGCGCGGCAGCAGTGAATGTTATGCCAAGGGCTTGGGTCTCGTAGCTGCGACGGCTGTGACCACTCCCATCGAGTCGAGGCAGACCTCGAGTTGCAGCGCGAGCGGCCGTTGGCCATATCGCTGGCGATGTGCCGCTTCAGGGCCGCGAGGCCGTTGAAGTACTTCAAAGATCGTGGTGGCTAGAGCGAGCCCGAGATCTGTTGAACTGATCGCGGCAATTAGCTCACTTGTGAAGATGCCTCGCGCAACTGCTTTGAGCGTCCCACACTCTCAGCCCAGCAAGCGAAGCGTTTGTTTGCCGACGAAAGCACGGTGAGTCCCCGCGTCTCCGGTGCCCATGCGCAAGAGGGTGGCTCCTCTCAGAGCGTACCCTGCGTCGGTGCCCTCCTTCTGTCCCCAAGGAAGGCTGCGTCGCTGTGTGTTTTGGGATTGCGTGCACAGCGCATCGGTGGATAGTGGATGCGTAGTGGGTCGGCCTGCGCCCATCTCACTAGTGCGTAGAACTTCCGCATGAGGCCGCACGTTGCCAATGCGGCGCGGCGCTGAAGCAACTACGCGGACGCGCAGATCGGTTCGGCTGACGAGCGCGAAAGCCAGAGCCATAAACAGACTGAGGCACGGGTTGGCCAGGCTCTCTGGGGCGAGCTCGAAATTGGATTAAGCATATCAGCGCTTCCCGCTGGCTTCAGCGCCTGAATGTACTCGATCTGGCCCAGCTCAGATCCGCCGCTGTGCATGGGGCAGCGACGTGTTCCGCAGCACGTTAAAGCACCTCCGCTAACACTCAGCTCACCCTTGCCGAAAGCACACTCTGCACATGAGCGTAACTTGGCTTTCTCCTGTGGTGACCATGTGACTTTGATGTCGTCGACATGCTTGGTGGCCAGAAGGACGA